AGCTTTCTTAATGATGATAAATGTGTCATCTACATATCTGTACCATTTTTTAAAAGGACAACTAAAAATTGTCCCTGAATAGATACTTAATCTAAATAATTAAGCAGTCTAGATCAAATGAATTTATGTGAATGACTTGGATGGATTGGCAAATATACACGTTTGGCTAACATCACCATTCATTAAAATAAAAACTGGTTTCGACTTTTGTTATGTACTCGTCGAGTAGTTAATAGTCCCGATGCAGAAAGAGAGAAATCAGAAGACCACCAGGTTTACGATGATACTTGTATTTTCCAAACAAGGAAATTAATTGTCACACAAGAGTGTGAGTGAAATGGTGCTTAGTGTACGAAAACGTGTGTGAACAAGAATCCAGTACAAAAGTATATATGAAAATGACTAATACACATGAACCAATAAATGGTCAGTCTTAACATGATTGGTTGTAATGTCATGTGACAACAAGGTCATACATGTTCATTTAGTTAGTGGACAGACAAAAGCATATTGTCAGTTATAATAAAATATCGATCCATATACACATAGCAAAATATAATAGACTGTCAACAACAAAACACATACATCATGTGGATATATATCAACTTTACTAACGAATAAAAAGTACTGCACCATCATTAGTGTACTTCCATCAGTTTGTTTCAAATAGATCTATTCATGTGTAACACACACAGAGAAACCATCAAAAAATGATTGAAACACAACAGCCTAACACGAGAAGTTAATTCTACTTTTAGACTGTCTTAGAAGCCATCTCTACACAAAACCAGTTTTCTCATATTACTTACACCTACTGACTTCCTTCAAATCAATATCAACGGGAGAAATTTCAAGCAAGTCACTTCTTTCACTTATCTAAGAAGCATCGTTTTCAATCCATACGGCGAGGATGAGGATATCAAAGGTACCCAGGATCACGAAAGCATGATAGACACTCGTCAAACTGAAATCGGTGTGGAAATCTAATCTACTCAGCATAAGGAACAAGACTCTGACTTTCAGCATTACTGTCAAGTTGGTCAGTGCTTCTATATAGTTCAAAGACTTGATGTGTGGGTAACGGAAAGCATTTGCAATAGGTTACCTTAGCTGGCTGGATACTGAAAAACATATGGCCCACCAGGAAGGATTAGCAACAAGTAAATCTGACGACTAACGAACCAAGAACGTATTGCTGAACAGGTAGGCCAAAAAATGGAGTCGTGACCAGTAGGGTGCAGCTGGTCGGGTGTGAGGACAAATATTCGCCGAAGACATTGGCTAGCGGTTGCGCTATGTCATGAACTGGCAGGAGGTAGAATTCATGCACTGGCCATTGGATCGGGTCCCAGTGGCTTAATGGTATACGAGCTCGCCTTGTAACCAGAAGGTCCTGAGTTCGAATCCCGGTGGGTGCGTACTGATGAAGAGTCCCGAGTACTAGGACGAAACAGTTGTCCAGTACTCCCAGGTTTTCCAATGGTTCTCTAACTAATGTCAGCTCATGACGAAGTCCTATAACCAATTAAATCCCTACAAACCAACACTTGAAATGGAAATGCATTGGACGCATGCTGAGGAGAACACCAACTGTTATCATGTACTAGGTTCTCAAGTGGAACGCCAACAGGAAACAATGCGTTTGGTAGGATCAAAGGGTGACATGGAGAAGAGCGTATGAGAACGAAATAAAAGCTTAAGGATTATCATGGAGCCACCTAAGGACTACTGAAGAGAACAGCATGAAATAGAGACGTTCTGCTGAAGCCTAATATTTCACTCATAACCTAAGATATTAGTCATAATAATTTACATACATGTTCCTTTCGATTGTCACGTGTGTCGTTGATGCAGATTTGCATCTGTAAGTGAGACTGCTGCCCCTGTATCTACGTAACATACTTCTTGATTGTTTATTTGCAACCTACAATTCATTGCCCTCCTTTCGATCGCCATATTATCTTATCTTATCTCAGAGAAAGAAGACATATTATATTGTTCAAGGCTTTTCTTTTTCCGTCTTCCTGGGTACTATTTCCTCCAGTGTCGCATTTTGCCATATTCAAAGTAGTTGTCTTTTCTGACGCTCAATCTTAGCGCCGCTGGCTCACGCTGCAAATTCGCTATTTGGTGGCTCAATTGCGGCTGCCATTTTGCTCAACGGCTACCTGATCAAGTTTCCTAGCTAACCAATATGCATGGGTTGTGCAGCGCTAACCAGTTGAAGTCGCTGAAAAATTTGGTCTGGAACACTCACGATGGACTGAGAAGTCAATAACTCCGACTCTGGCACTTTGTCCAGTATGGGAAGTGTGCATTGCCAACACTAACGGCTCTCCATTAGGTCCGAGCTTTGCGGTACGGAACTGCTGCACTGCCAGTTGCCTGTCCTTCAGGCTGTCAAACTCTCCACCAATCATTCAGCTAATACCTACCACCTCTCTTTATCACCCGACTGAACTACACTGTCTCAACACCACCTTTGCCCGACCTTTCAGCAGCGTTCCCAGTAGACTCTCCGTCGGATCCCCGACGCCCACCAACTCAGCAAGAGTGTCGAAGTCCCTCAAGTAGCTCCGCATGTCTTTTTCTTCAAAAGTAGCAAGACCATAGGATCTTTGCTTTCTGCAGGCAGAGACACCAAATATAATAGAAGACAAAAGACTTCGTATCCGGATGTTTACTCGCAGTTTGACGTAAAAATGTTAGGAACTTATGTATACCTTATATTTAATTCGTCATTTGCACAAATCTTCCGTGTTGTGCTATTTCTGCCCTTCATATTTTGTTTCATTATCTTCTTTTCGTGTCTCCCATGTTTTACCGCGACACTGCTTCATTTCTCTCTCCATGACGTTGAATCTATCTCTCTGCTGCTTGATATTTTGTGCCAATGAACGTCTCTTTATATACTACTGATAAATCCTGATATAAGAATAAAACTTGTGCACTGTGGTAGAGCATAATTCCATTATGGGTAAATTTTGTTTTGATAAAGTCTCACATTGTTATACAGTGATGTTTACTGATGACGTTTCGAGCACAATTTGTCGCTGTTTATAATCATATCAAGATACTCACACAACTTTCTAACTTCGTTTATATAATTCCATTATTTTTCACCGCTTGATTTGATTGGTAGTAGTATTTTCCATATTTCCGGTATGAGTGATGAGTTATTCCTGATCCATGTGTTGTGTTGGGTGTAGACTCAATGAACCAGGATTCAGTAATCAACCTCTCTCTCCACCTATTTAGATTGCTTCTTAGAATTTTAACCCTCTCCCACCCTATTGTGTGGTTGTGTGTTAATGCATGCAGTGCAATTGCTGAGCTTTTTTCTAAATTACTTATCTTCTCGGGATCAACCATTCTTACCTTAGCTAAATTCTTATGTTCTGACAATCTGACTATCCCCGACCTACTAGTTTGACCTATGCAGTTGACCTCACACTCTTTGGAGGGTATTTTGTAAATAATATTATTTTGTCTAATTGGGTCAACTGGGTCCTTTAACCTATAGTGCTTGTCCCTGAGTGACTTTGTAGGTTTAAATGCCACTCTAATTCCTGCTTTATTGAGAATCCTACGTAGGGTCTCAGATGTCCCGTCCTTATATGGTATAACAGTGGATTTAGCTAAGGTAAGAATGGTTGACCCTGAGAAGATAAGTAATTTAGAAAAAAGCTCAGCAATTGCACTGCATGCATTAACACACAACCACACAATAGGGTGGGAGAGGGTTAAAATTCTAAGAAGCAATCTAAATAGGTGGAGAGAGAGGTTGATTACTGAATCCTGGTTCATTGAGTCTACACCCAACACAACACATGGATCAGGAATGACTCATCACTCATACCGGAAATATGGAAAATACTACTACCAATCAAATCAAGCGGTGAAAAATAATGGAATTATATAAACGAAGTTAGAAAGTTGTGTGAGTATCTTGATATGATTATAAACAGAGACAAATTGTGCTCGAAACGTCATCGGTAAACATTACTGTATAAAACACAAAATAATCGAGCACAGAATATTCTTTTCGATAAATTCCTCTCCCGGCTCTACAGTTATATATGTCTATATACACAAAATATTCAAGAATGGTAGTTAATATCAATATTAGTGTAAGATCAATTCTATTCCCATCCTTGAATCAAGTCAACCTGTCACGGATCAGCCTAGCGTTGTTGCAACCCAATTATTCATGCCTAACGTGTCTATCCCTGCTTGTTTAATGAACTGTGTGTATGTGTTTTTACCTCGATCCGTTTAGTCAGACAGTTGAACTCATGGCCCAATCAGAGTATTTTGTGAACTGTTATTTTTGCTGACCCATGTCTAACTTTGTACTATTCTGTCGAGTTTATCTTATTTATTGATTTTCATCTGTATTTTCCTACCTGGTTAAGTAGCCAATTAAATTCTATCTTTGTGCCTATGCTCGGTCTATCTCTCTTAAACGCTCTCTGTTTTATGCCATACCTTACTTGGGTTCATTCTTCTACTGACTGCTTACCTGAACGGTCGTGTCTGGTTCCGGCTAGTTCGCAATTTTGGTTTTAACGTTATTCCGCTCTGATAGCGGTACCTTGCTTTCTGTTAAGCATTGTGCTTTGTACTCTTGAAACCGTTAAGAAAAAAAAAAAAAAAAAAAAAAAAAAAAAAAAAAAAAAATACCGTAGAAAAAGTGACCGGCTTCTTGTTTGTTCTGGACCGGGATAGCCTTTATCTACGCGTGACTTAATTTCAAGCGATATTGCGCTTACAGTACTTAACGGAGTACTTAACGTAACGGATGAGACCGTACTGAACTGGTCAGTACTTAACGCTAAACGGGTTACTGAAGCTAAACGGATCGAGACTAGAGTACTGAACTGATCAGTACTTAACGAAAGAGGAATTGTCATTGAAGAAAATCCCGTACTGAACTGGTCAGTACTTAATGTTACAGAGACGAGACCGTACTGAACTGATCAGTACTTAACGAAAGAGGAATTGTCATTGAAGAAAATCCCGTACTGAACTGGTCAGTACTGAGCGTTCATCGAGAAGAAACTGTGGTGAATTGGCAGCACGCAACGTTATTGACAATACATTGTCTTTGGAGCAATGCAAACCAGATCAGGGAATCAAATTTCGGAGCAGCAGTCGGAGAGTCGGCAAGTCCCCGTTCGTATAAATGATCATGTTGATAATCTTTCGTGCCCCGGCTCTCATGTCAGTAGTTCGAAATTATCATTACCGCGAGTAACTAGTGCTAAGTCGTTGCTACTAAGGGCGCAGCTAAAAGAAAAACAGCTTCGAGAGGAGTTAGAGTTAGAGAAAAAGTTGCTAAAGGCTAGACATGATGTCGAAATGGCCGAGCTGCATGTGAAGTTAGCCGAGGACGACGAACGGAAAACTCATGGAAATACGAAAAGAGGCACTGTCAATTACGCTCGAATCAGCAAAGACAGTATCAAAGACGACATCAGAAGTCTACATCAAGCTGAGCTTAAGGATACTGAAGAAAACAAAAACTCATTTTCTATTGAAGATCGTAAGGCAATCGAGTTTGTTACTCAAAGCACCGTAGTAGAAAAGGCGCATTACATCATTCCCTTGCCATGGGAAGATCCGACAAAGATAACGGACAATAATTATGTAGTCGCCATAAAGCCGTTACTCAATCTGAAACAGAGGTTATCGTGTGACAAGAACCTTTTAGCACGATATGTGGAGGGGATAAATACGATGTTAAAAAATGGTTATGCCCTTCCGGTACCCCCAAAGCAGCTAGCAGCGAACTATCGTTCGAGGTGGTATCTTCCACATCATCCCGTTATGAAAACGAAAAAGCCAGATAAACTGAGAAGAGTTATAGATTGTGCTGCAACCTTTAGAGGTTATTCTTTGAACGATAAGCTATATCAAGAACCTGATACGATTTCCGAGCTTGTTGGTGTTCAGTTGCGCTTTCGAGAAAAGCCTATTTCTGTATCCGCGGACATAGCTGATATGTTTATGCAAGTGAAGGTGCTAGTAGACGATCGAGGAGCATTACGATTTCTGTGGTGGCAAGATGGTTGGCTAGGCGTTGGCCGCGAGGAGTTATTGCGGAATGCGAGCAATCCGCGGACGAACTTGTCAGAACGGTTACAATAAGAACGAGAAACGGCGAGGTGAAGCGCGATATACGTAAGATATGCCTACTAGAGGGAAGTCATTTGTAAGAGAGCCGGGCACGAGGGTTATTCTGTATAACATGATTCATAAAATCCTAGTCGGATTTTGGGGGCCGGTGTAAGATCAATTCTATTCCCATCCTTGAATCAAGTCAACCTGTCACGGATCAGCCTAGCGTTGTTGCAACCCAATTATCCATGCCTAACGTGTCTATCCCTGCTTGTTTAATGAACTGTGTGTATGTGTTTTTACCTCGATCCGTTTAGTCAGACAGTTGAACTCATGGCCCAATCAGAGTATTTTGTGAACTGTTATTTTTGCTGACCCATGTCTAACTTTGTACTATTCTGTCGAGTTTATCTTATTTATTGATTTTCATCTGTATTTTCCTACCTGGTTAAGTAGCCAATTAAATTCTATCTTTGTGCCTATGCTCGGTCTATCTCTCTTAAACGCTCTCTGTTTTATGCCATACCTTACTTGGGTTCATTCTTCTACTGACTGCTTACCTGAACGGTCGTGTCTGGTTCCGGCTAGTTCGCAATTTTGGTTTTAACGTTATTCCGCTCTGATAGCGGTACCTTGCTTTCTGTTAAGCATTGTGCTTTGTACTCTTGAAACCGTTAAGAAAAAAAAAAAAAAAAAAAAAAAAAAAAAAAAAAAAAAATACCGTAGAAAAAGTGACCGGCTTCTTGTTTGTTCTGGACCGGGATAGCCTTTATCTACGCGTGACTTAATTTCAAGCGATATTGCGCTTACAGTACTTAACGGAGTACTTAACGTAGTACTTGACGCTAAACGGATCGAGACCGTACTGAACTGGTCAGTACTTAACGCTAAACGGATCGAGACTTTACTGAACTGGACAGTACTTAACGAGTACTTAACGTAGTACTTGACGCTAAACGGATCGAGACCGTACTGAACTGGTCAGTACTTGACGCTAAACGGATCGAGACTTTACTGAATTGGTCAGTACTTCACAAAACAGTACAGAGGAGACGTACTGAACTGATCAGTACTTAACGAGAAAATCCCGTACTGAACTGGTCAGTACTGAGCGTTCATCGAGAAGAAACTGTGGTGAATTGGCAGCACGCAACGTTATTGACAATACATTGTCTTTGGAACAATGCAAACCAGATCAGGGAATCAAATTTCGGAGCAGCAGTCGGAGAGTCGGCAAGTCCCCGTTCGTATAAATGATCATGTTGATAATCTTTCGTGCCCCGGCTCTCATGTCAGTAGTTCGAAATTATCATTACCGCGAGTAACTAGTGCTAAGTCGTTGCTACTAAGGGCGCAGCTAAAAGAAAAACAGCTTCGAGAGGAGTTAGAGTTAGAGAAAAAGTTGCTAAAGGCTAGACATGATGTCGAAATGGCCGAGCTGCATGTGAAGTTAGCCGAGGACGACGAACGGAAAACTCATGGAAATACGAAAAGAGGCACTGTCAATTACGCTCGAATCAGCAAAGACAGTATCAAAGACGACATCAGAAGTCTACATCAAGCTGAGCTTAAGGATACTGAAGAAAACAAAAACTCATTTTCTATTGAAGATCGTAAGGCAATCGAGTTTGTTACTCAAAGCACCGTAGTAGAAAAGGCGCATTACATCATTCCCTTGCCATGGGAAGATCCGACAAAGGTAACGGACAATAATTATGTAGTCGCCATAAAGCCGTTACTCAATCTGAAACAGAGGTTATCGTGTGACAAGAACCTTTTAGCACGATATGTGGAGGGGATAAATACGATGTTAAAAAATGGTTATGCCCTTCCGGTACCCCCAAAGCAGCTAGCAGCGAACTATCGTTCGAGGTGGTATCTTCCACATCATCCCGTTATGAAAACGAAAAAGCCAGATAAACTGAGAAGAGTTATAGATTGTGCTGCAACCTTTAGAGGTTATTCTTTGAACGATAAGCTATATCAAGAACCTGATACGATTTCCGAGCTTGTTGGTGTTCAGTTGCGCTTTCGAGAAAAGCCTATTTCTGTATCCGCGGACATAGCTGATATGTTTATGCAAGTGAAGGTGCTAGTAGACGATCGAGGAGCATTACGATTTCTGTGGTGGCAAGATGGTTGGCTAGGCGTTGGCCGCGAGGAGTTATTGCGGAATGCGAGCAATCCGCGGACGAACTTGTCAGAACGGTTACAATAAGAACGAGAAACGGCGAGGTGAAGCGCGATATACGTAAGATATGCCTACTAGAGGGAAGTCATTTGTAAGAGAGCCGGGCACGAGGGTTATTCTGTATAACATGATTCATAAAATCCTAGTCGGATTTTGGGGGCCGGTGTAAGATCAATTCTATTCCCATCCTTGAATCAAGTCAACCTGTCACGGATCAGCCTAGCGTTGTTGCAACCCAATTATTCATGCCTAACGTGTCTATCCCTGCTTGTTTAATGAACTGTGTGTATGTGTTTTTACCTCGATCCGTTTAGTCAGACAGTTGAACTCATGGCCCAATCAGAGTATTTTGTGAACTGTTATTTTTGCTGACCCATGTCTAACTTTGTACTATTCTGTCGAGTTTATCTTATTTATTGATTTTCATCTGTATTTTCCTACCTGGTTAAGTAGCCAATTAAATTCTATCTTTGTGCCTATGCTCGGTCTATCTCTCTTAAACGCTCTCTGTTTTATGCCATACCTTACTTGGGTTCATTCTTCTACTGACTGCTTACCTGAACGGTCGTGTCTGGTTCCGGCTAGTTCGCAATTTTGGTTTTAACGTTATTCCGCTCTGATAGCGGTACCTTGCTTTCTGTTAAGCACTGTGCTTTGTACTCTTGAAACCGTTAAGAAAAAAAAAAAAAAAAAAAAAAAAAAAAAAAAAAAAAAATACCGTAGAAAAAGTGACCGGCTTCTTGTTTGTTCTGGACCGGGATAGCCTTTATCTACGCGTGACTTAATTTCAAGCGATATTGCGCTTACAGTACTTAACGGAGTACTTAACGTAAACGGATCGAGACCGTACTGAACTGGTCAGTACTTAACGCTAAACGGCTAAACGGATCGAGACTCAGTACTTAACGAAAGAGGAATTGTCATTGAAGAAAATCCCGTACTGAACTGGTCAGTACTTAATGTTACAGAGTCGAGACCGTACTGAACTGATCAGTACTTAACGAAAAATTGTCATTGAAGAAAATCCCGTACTGAACTGGTCAGTACTGAGCGTTCATCGAGAAGAAACTGTGGTGAATTGGCAGCACGCAACGTTATTGACAATACATTGTCTTTGGAACAATGCAAACCAGATCAGGGAATCAAATTTCGGAGCAGCAGTCGGAGAGTCGGCAAGTCCCCGTTCGTATAAATGATCATGTTGATAATCTTTCGTGCCCCGGCTCTCATGTCAGTAGTTCGAAATTATCATTACCGCGAGTAACTAGTGCTAAGTCGTTGCTACTAAGGGCGCAGCTAAAAGAGAAACAGCTTCGAGAGGAGTTAGAGTTAGAGAAAAAGTTGCTAAAGGCTAGACATGATGTCGAAATGGCCGAGCTGCATGTGAAGTTAGCCGAGGACGACGAACGGAAAACTCATGGAAATACGAAAAGAGGCACTGTCAATTACGCTCGAATCAGCAAAGACAGTATCAAAGACGACATCAGAAGTCTACATCAAGCTGAGCTTAAGGATACTGAAGAAAACAAAAACTCATTTTCTATTGAAGATCGTAAGGCAATCGAGTTTGTTACTCAAAGCACCGTAGTAGAAAAGGCGCATTACATCATTCCCTTGCCATGGGAAGATCCGACAAAGGTAACGGACAATAATTATGTAGTCGCCATAAAGCCGTTACTCAATCTGAAACAGAGGTTATCGTGTGACAAGAACCTTTTAGCACGATATGTGGAGGGGATAAATACGATGTTAAAAAATGGTTATGCCCTTCCGGTACCCCCAAAGCAGCTAGCAGCGAACTATCGTTCGAGGTGGTATCTTCCACATCATCCCGTTATGAAAACGAAAAAGCCAGATAAACTGAGAAGAGTTATAGATTGTGCTGCAACCTTTAGAGGTTATTCTTTGAACGATAAGCTATATCAAGAACCTGATACGATTGCCGAGCTTGTTGGTGTTCAGTTGCGCTTTCGAGAAAAGCCTATTGCTGTAGTCGCGGACATAGCTGATATGTTTATGCAAGTGAAGGTGCCAGTAGACGATCGAGGAGCATTACGATTTCTGTGGTGGCAAGATGGTTGGCTAGGCGTTGGCCGCGAGGAGTTATTGCGGAATGCGAGCAATCCGCGGACGAACTTGTCAGAACGGTTACAATAAGAACGAGAAACGGCGAGGTGAAGCGCGATATACGTAAGATATGCCTACTAGAGGGAAGTCATTTGTAAGAGAGCCGGGCACGAGGGTTATTCTGTATAACATGATTCATAAAATCCTAGTCGGATTTTGGGGGCCGGTGTAAGATCAATTCTATTCCCATCCTTGAATCAAGTCAACCTGTCCCGGATCAGCCTAGCGTTGTTGCAACCCAATTATCCATGCCTAACGTGTCTATCCCTGCTTGTTTAATGAACTGTGTGTATGTGTTTTTACCTCGATCCGTTTAGTCAGACAGTTGAACTCATGGCCCAATCAGAGTATTTTGTGAACTGTTATTTTTGCTGACCCATGTCTAACTTTGTACTATTCTGTCGAGTTTATCTTATTTATTGATTTTCATCTGTATTTTCCTACCTGGTTAAGTAGCCAATTAAATTCTATCTTTGTGCCTATGCTCGGTCTATCTCTCTTAAACGCTCTCTGTTTTATGCCATACCTTACTTGGGTTCATTCTTCTACTGACTGCTTACCTGAACGGTCGTGTCTGGTTCCGGCTAGTTCGCAATTTTGGTTTTAACGTTATTCCGCTCTGATAGCGGTACCTTGCTTTCTGTTAAGCGTTGTGCTTTGTACTCTTGAAACCGTTAAGGTTTGTTGTATATATAATTATTGATTTGTTTATTAATAGTACCGTAGAAACAGTGACCGGCTTCTTGTTTGTTCTGGACCGGGATAGCCTTTATCTACGCGTGACTTAATTTCAAGCGATATTGCGCTTACAATTAGTGTTTTTTAAATTTCCGAATTTTCGAACATCACCCTGCGTGGTTAAGCTGAGGACATACAAAATCCATTCGTCGCGCTATTCTGTCTTATCTTGTGGATACAGAACATAAGACTGATGTTAACCACGCTTTCAGGGTCATTTACCGCATACCTACAAATCTGAATTTTGCCTTAAGATTTCGACTACTTAATATTGCTGAGGCTGTGGGGATCCACATTAACAACCGTAATTTATGCATCTAAAAGAAGTTCGTTCAGGCATTATCACTACCCTGGCCATCCAGGTTTGAATTATCCTTAATTTTTGTGCAATCTCCATAATTTTAGTTGATATTCTATTTGCTATTATATCTTTATTACTATTATAATTTAAGTATTTTTAGTGAACTGCAATTCCATCGTGATCCTACTTTACAAATCGATATTATTATTTAAAAAACACTAATATTGTTATTAACTACCAATCTTGAATATTTTGTGTATATAAACATATATATAACTTGAACAAAGCAAGAACTACAGTTTTAGCAGAATAATGTCGTACCATCATTTATTTCGTTGGCTTCTCATCAGCTGCTTACATCCTAAATAAATTATGAGGTTTAAGTACAGACATGTTTTAACATACTTGCAAATTTTACATGTTGTCAGTTGGCAGAAAGTTCCACAATTAGTAAACAGTGCTCAGAAAATTGCGCTTATATAGTTTTCACACAGGCAGTTCAAGTTAAAACAAAATAAATGTATGCAGAAAATGGTAAAGGAGTTACATAATAAAGATGAGATGTGTGTTAGATGCATAGTGACTAGTAAGTTAGGTAACAATGTACTGAGTTGAGCTCAAATCATAGAAACAAGAGACAAGCAAAATTACAGATTATAAAAGGGAGGGTGAGGTTAAAAACGAAGATTACGTAATCAGATGAGAGAAAAAAAGGCATCCAGTTATCAAGGCAAGGAAAGACTAATAACTGCTTTTTTTCTGAACACATAGATCTGGTTTCAAGCGTTTGATAACTCATGACCCGTGTCGAGGAGATGCCTGGCGATGGCACTGTTTAAAGCATTTGTTCCCTTTAGACGTAAGCTTTTTGGTACGTGTTCAGAAAATCGTAGATATACCCTTCTTTCTGTTCTTCCCTTACCTAATTTACTAGTCACTATGCATCTAACACACATCTCATCTTTATTATGTAACTCCTTTACCATTTTCTGCATACATTTATTTTGTTTTAACTTGAACTGCCTGTGTGAAAACTATATAAGCGCAATTTTCTGAGCACTGTTTACTAATTGTGGAACTTTCTGCCAACTGACAACATGTAAAATTTGCAAGTATGTTAAAACATGTCTGTACTTAAACCTCATAATTTATTTAGGATGTAAGCAGCTGATGAGAAGCCAACGAAATAAATGATGGTACGACATTACTCTGCTAAAACTGTAGTTCTTGTTTTGTTCAAATTCATTAAGGGGAATAAATGTATGAAATATATATAACTGTAGAGCCAGAAGAGGAATTTATCGAAAAGAATATTCTTTGCTCGATGATTATTTTGTGTTTTATAGATGTCTGAATGAATATTTTTGTTACATTACTGTATAACACTGAGACATTATCAAAACAAATTTTACGCCTAATGGAACTGATAAATCTTGTCAGTAGTACACGCTACACACTATGATAAGAATCTATTCCTTTTGTTTACAGTGTTCTCAGAAATAAACACATAACACTCAATTAACAAAAACACAACTTGTTTACGCAGATTAAACTAATCGCTCTTTTTTTCTAACGAAATAATTTACTATAACATGGTGAACGCTATCCAACTGTGAATTACTACTTACTGTATTACCAAACTGTTATTTGTTATTCAGGATTTCATCATGAGCTGACATTAGTTAGAGAACCATTGGAAAACCTGGGAGTACTGGACAGCTGTTTCGTCCTAGTTTGGGACTCTTCAGGAGTACGTACCCACCGGGATTCGAACCCAGGACCTTCCGGTTACAAGGCGAGCTCGTTATTTGTTATATTATTTTTCTCATATTATGTAAGAACTGCTGAATGCTATTTGTAGACAGAAGACAAGTAGTTCAGCGAAGAGTCTCTTTTCGGCGAATTCATTTTCATAGCTGTACAATCGCAAATATATATGGTTATTTTGTGTGTGTGTGTGTGTATACTTTAAATTTGTCAAACGAAAATACAATTAGTAAGTTCAGATGAATTGGATGTTGATAAGAGGATAGCAACAAAAGTGATGAGTTGTCAAAAACGATTGTTAAAGAGGAGTAAGTTCAGGTGAATTGGATGTTCATATAAGAGGATAGTAACAAAAGTGATGAGTTGTCATCTGCAGCTCCGACACCATGGAAGAAGAACTAAACTTCCTGAGGGAAATCTTCATACAAAATGGCTACCCACCAAGATTCGTAGAGAAAAACATCAAACGGAAAAACCAAAAGCAAGAGACACCATCCGTGCCAAAAATATATACCTTATATGAACCTAGACTTCAAAGGAGACCTATTTAGTGACGTCCTCAGAAGGAGAATTTCCACCTCTTTAGGAAGAACTTTCCCTGCGGCAACACTAAGAATAGTGTTCTCCAGTCGCCCGCTGATCTGCAGAAACCCAAAGGACAAGATTCCGCACATGACCACTTCTATGTGTATATATCAGTTCACCTGTTGCTGTGGAGCCAGGTACATCGGTCGTTCAACGCGCATCCTGTCTAAAGGGGTCAAAGAACACTATCCAGCGTGGCTACAGAAAGGAAATAATGGCCATATAAGGAGTGCAACAATCGAACATCTCGTCAATACTGGTCATTCCAACTCAACGAACGCCTCCTTCAAAGTAATCTACAAAGTGAAGAACAACCTTCCAAAGACAGTACGATTCCGTCTTCTTTGCATCGCTGAAGCCCTAGCCATCCAGTTGGAAGAACCAGAAATATGCATACAAAAGAAAATTATCCAACCACTTCTACTCGCATGGTAACTACTCCTTTGATTTGACCTAACTTTTCTTTGTTTGTTTGATTTGACCTTACTTCTGTTTGTATGCTTATTTTTCTAACTTAAAACCCTTGTGTAATTCTGTATATTATTTTGTTTCCATGTACACCCTTTGAGCACAACTCATTCATCAAACTATTCATGCCATTACGTAACTCTTATTTAACAATCATTTATGACAACTCATCACTTTTGTTACTATCCTCTTATATGAACATCCAATTCACCTGAACTTACTCCTCTTTAACAATCGTTTTTGACAACTCATCACTTTTGTTGCTATCCTCTTATCAACATCCAATTCATCTGAACTTACTAATTGTATTTTCGTTTGACAAATTTAAAGTATACACACACACACACACAAAATAACCATATATATTTGCGATTGTACAGCTATGAAAATGAATTCGCCGAAAAGAGACTCTTCGCTGAACTACTTGTCTTCTGTCTACTAATGTTCGAATGGGAATTATTCATGAATGCTTTTTCACAACAACTTTGCTAATTTGCTTATCTTTTCTGCATGAAGTCATACACGTTAAAATGCGAAGATAATTACTATTTATTAATGTGCATAGACAAAAACAGGAGTCAGACAAGGGTGCTTATTATCACCTACGATGATATTCCTAATTCTGGTGAACTGGATTATGCGTTAGACAGTGGGAAACGAGAAGACAGGGAGGGATATCCTGGACCGACGTGAAGAACCTAGAAGACCTGGATTTCACGCGTGGATAATTTATGCTTGATGTCACACAAAATCGAAGACTGACAGGCGAAAACCGACAAACTGGTCGAAGAAGCAGCTGGCGAAGACAGGATACCAGGTGAACATAGACAAGACGGAGGTTATGAAAATAACCAACCAACCAACAACAATAACAACAACAGCAACATCCAGCGTCAATAACCATCAATGGGAGGGATTCCAAAGAGGTTACTTCATTCATTCACTTATCTAGGGAGCATTGTCTCAACTACAGCCAGTCGGAACGGACGAGGATGTCAAATCGAGCGAGAATCGGGAAGGTGAGATTGAGCCATTGAACTCCTTTCCAATGGACTAATAGTAGTAGGCGAGCTCGCCGTGTAAGCTGAAGTTGTGCTGGGTTCGACTCCTGATGAGTTTAAGGGGGCGTACTGAAGAACGATACCAAACAAGGATGAGAGAGAGCTGCCCACTACTTCATGGTTTTCAGTAATTCTCTAAGTGAAGTCAGTTCGTGACTCATCTTGGGAAATTTTTTCTCTTCATGAAATTACTGGTACCACTGGATGGCGTTTATAAATTAGCCGTAGGTTTTAATATTTTTAGGTGTATTATGGAAGCCTTAACAACGAATCATGACTAGTAAACCTATCTAAAACGGTCTGACAATATTGAGCATAATTTCTTTTGTCTGAAACAAACACAATCCATATGAAATTTAAATCGGCTAGTTTGAACTGTTTCGGCTCTCTAAGCTGAGTCAAAGCGGGTACATCGTTGATGAGCTCAGCCCCAAACCAGTGAAACGGCCAGCAAGAGCTACTGGTTGATGAAACTACTTATCTCACGTAATCAGTAGTATAAAGTTTTATGCAAAAATACCTGCTTTTTTGATTACCACTTATGGTAACAAGCAGATCACACATATTGTGCGTGATCCGAGTAACTTGGTTTCCAAACGAAACTATGGTGAAATTACGCAAGTTGAACTGTGTTGATCGTGAACTGGTTAGCAATTTACAAACTTTGAATTTGAAATTTAAAAAGGTTTATCAATATAAGTGAGTACGTGGTGAGAGCTGTCTGCAAGCCAAAATTCATAGACAGCAATGTGCGTCAGTGTTTACGCCCTGAATAGGAGTCACGAGATGAAACAGTAACAAAACCTAAACTTGAGGAACTCAACAAACAATCACAGCAGACTTTACGTGGGTGGATACGATTAATAGATATATCATCGGAATGTCTAAGACACGGCCACAAAGAGACGACAGAATAACCTTCAGCAGGAAAACAACCAATCAGAAGACTTTGCTTTTCTGCTAATAATAACGAATAACAATGTACACAAAAATCTATAAATATCTGTTGATTCTATGAATAAACGATCTGTTTCCTGGCTCTTATCTTTCGTCGTTACAAGTATATCAGTATGTGAAAAAAGACAAAATGAGACGTACCTCAGTTGTTTCCGTGAATGTAAACCATAGACGACCAACATCCTCAACTGCAGACGCCGTAATGACCAAACCAGACTCCTCTTCTAACTCTCGAAGTGCAGCAGCTTTAGGATTCGCATCATCCGATTGAACTTTACCACCGAAACCATTCCATCTGCCTTTGCCAAAACCACGTTGTTTTAAGCCTAATAGTAACCAGGATGTATTCTCATCATTTGTGCACAATTCTTCAGGATGAACCTAGGATATAAAAGATATTTTTTAATAGAAAAACACATTTTATGACCTCTTAACAAATATTCTTAACTCGCGTCTTACTAGAATTTTGACTTACCAAGTATAGTCAGGTAGAAAACAAGTATTACGCCTAGAATTCGAGTAAAATTTATGCTATATATCGACGAACGTTTTATGTGACCAGGCCATTGAGAAACTCAATCAATTATATCAACAACAAAAACAAATTGAAGCTTGAAGTTTCGGTACCAGTGGTGATTTTTTTTTACAGGATGGGGTTGCTGGCCTCATGACCCCAACCTCCCCTCTTTACCAACCTTATTACTGGTTTAGCAAGGTAAAAAGGGTGAGTCGGCTGAGGTTCCAACCCCGGACCATGTGCGTGGTAGGCGAGAACCCTACCGCCTGCCACCGACGCTAAAACCATCCAATGAAAGCAGGAAAATTTATGTGGAAATGAGGGCATATAAGGTCGGTTAAAATGATCAGACTATAAGAATAAAAAGGAGGGACGAAGGAAGAATCACGTCGTTGGTTCAGTGGTAGAACACTGGCCAACCACACAGGTGGTTCGGGGTTCGATCCCCGGCCAAAGTATACCTGTACCTCACCAAGCCGGTAACAAGCCCCGTAAAGAGTGGAGGTTGGTCGTGAGGCTAGTAAACCCATCCCGTGCAAAAATGCCCCCGCTACTGAAACTTCGATACTCTAGCTTGAAGCTGTATGTTCCACTGGGAACGAAAACGAATAGAAAAAAAAATAAAATAAGTAAGGGAAGAATAATGTGGTAATAGTGACATCAGTCTTGATATTATGAGTAGATAAGACATATCAAGGTAGTTTGAATGTAACTGTAAGTTACATCTACACACAAACAATAGGAAGTAGCTTCAACATGCAGATGAGTCTTGTCTCAGTATATCTTACTGTCAGCTCCTAAATGTTTTTTTGTGGAAAATCTTGAATTCTTACGACTCATAATTTCTGATACTAATGAAGTTAGTCGTTTCACTCCTAAAAATTATCCAAATTTGACTATAATGGAAATCCGTTTTCTATGAATGTACCCATCAGATTTTTGTTATTGGCATCTGTCGTATCAGCTATGCACATAAACTAGATCTTACTAAACAGGAACATAGGGCTTCAGCTGCGCATCTCCATTGCCTTCTGTTTTCTGCCAACTTTTTCACCCCGATCCAAGTCTGCCCACATGCTTTCATCTCCTCCTCGCATGACCTCCTCCAAGTCACCTTTGCATTGACGACCATCTCGCCGCTTCGCTTTCTGTCGGGTTCCACTCGAGCGATGGCTTGTCCCGTGATGTCACTTCATGGTTTCCTCAAAGTATGGCCAGCCAATCCATCTCCATTTCTGCCTGCTTATTTGTTTCACAATCGGTTCCTGGTTGGTTCGCTCATTGTCAGAGATCCCTCCGTGGTGTTGATTTTTTCTGGCTGGCCATCTGATCTTGAGTATTGAGCGAAGACAACTGTTAATGAAGGTCTGAAGTCTGTTTGAGATGCTCTTTATGACGCGCCAGGTCTCTGATCCGTATAGGGAGTAGCACTGACTTCACATTGGAGTTGAAAATCCGGAGGGATATTATTTTTGATGATGAGTGATGTTGACCTCCACACAGACTTAAGGGTAATGAAAGCTTGTCTTGCTTTTCCGATTCTGGCTTTGATATCCTCGTCAGTTCCGTCTGTCTGTAGTTGAAACGATGGTTCCCAGGTAGGTGGGTAGGTAAAGGAGGTTGTTTCTTTCAGGTTCCTCCCATTTATGCTGGCTGATTGTTGTCTGTTGTTGTTGTTGCTGTTGGTGTTGGCCAGGAATCTCCATCACCTCTGTTTTATCTATGTTCACCTGAAGTCCCATCTTCACTGGATGCTTCTTCTGCCAGCTTGTTGCTTTTCACTTGCATATCTTCCAGTTGTGGGAAATCAGACATATATCATCGGCGAAGTCCAGATCCTCCAAGTCTTTTGTGTGAGTCCATTTTATGCCTGTTTCCTCATTGCCCAGCTCGTTGTCTGTCGCATTATCCAATCTACTGCAATCAGGAAAATCATTGGCGATAGTAGACAGCCAGCTTGACTCACTCCCGTCCTCACTTCGAAGGATTCCGTAAGTTTCCCGTTGTGGATTACTTGGCATTCAGCATTGTCGTATAACTATTGGATGAAATGTATAATCGTCGATGGCACCCCGTAGTAGCGAAGTAGTTGCCAAATCACCTCTCGATCGACGCTGTGCTGTCGAAGGCCTTTTCAAAGTCGATGAAGTTGAGCGAGGTGAAGAGGTGACTGCCATTCCAAGCTTTGTTCAATAATGATCTGTAAAGTGGCGATTTGATCAATACATGACTTGTTTCTCCTGAATCCAGCTTGTTCCGGTCGAATTTTTCATCCAGGTTGGCTTATTATTTTGCTTGGGATGGACAGGAGCATAATTCCGCGCCAGTTTCCTTTCTTTTGTAGTTTGAATACGTATCCTTCCTTCCAATCCTCAGGTACTTTGCCCTCCTTGCACACCTTCTCCTGCAATGGCGTCATCAAGTCCGCTGTTATCTCTGGGTCCATTTTCAATGCTTCTGCCGGGATTCCATATGGTCCTGCTGCTCCTCCAGCTTTTAACATCTTGATTGCATTCAGAACTTCTGATTTCGTCGGATTGTCTATGTTCACTGGTAGTTCTGCTTCCGTTGTTGGTATTGTTGGGCGCGTTGTAGGTGGCGGACGATTTAGAAGTCTTTTGAAGTGTTCAGCCCAGTGTTTTCTTTGCTCTCATTCTTTGGTGATTGACTTTCCATTGTCATCCTTGACTGGCTTAATCTGTGTCGAACGTTTTCCCGATAGGTGCCTAGTTGTTTGGTAGTGTTGCGATACTAACTAATATACTAAACTAATAATATACTAGGTAAAACAGTGGAACGGTGATCACTGTCCTGTATAAGTGGGCTTACTGTTTTCTTTTCCAATCAACAAGTGTAGCTAGAAACTCAAGCTAACTGCTGTTTTCTTGTTTTTAAGTAAAGTTTATATAATTGAATTGAATTTTTGATTTTCCCGTCGATTGATTGGACCGAAGTGCTCGGTCTCAGGTTGACATGTCGGCTTCTTGTGCAGATGCTTCGACGATGTCTGGGTATTTAATTGGTGTACAATTGGTGGATGGTGGCTAGCAGTGGAATCCAGGATAAGGCGCATTTCATCCTATTTGGGACTCGTCAGCTGGATGTACCTGCATTTCTCAGTGAGTGATGATGTTCCCACTGAGGCTCGAACCCAGTGCCCATAGTTTCAAACGCCAAAGTGTTATCCACTAGACCACTTGGCTCTCGTGGCCCAAATAGGACGAAATGCACATCCTGGATTCCACTGCTAGCCACCATCCACCAATTGTACACCAAAGTTTATAAATTTTGTATGTAATTACGGCATTATTAGCAGTTCTATATAGTCAAGTTACGCACACCTTATCTTCAACGCGTCATTTGCACAGATATTCTGTGTTGTGCTACTTTGTATTTCTTTTACGTCTTCTACGTATTTCCGCAACACTGTAACATTCCCTTTCTCTGACATCAAATCTACCTCCCTGACATTTGCTGCTTTTATGCTGATAAACATCTCTTGATACATATACTACTAAAAAATCTCATCAGTAACACACGCCACAGTATGATCTTAAATTCATATAGCAGAACAAATTTTCAACCTTACTCAGTTTACTAGTTCAGGTAAAAACCGACAGCTTGACAGAAGAAGCGGCAAAGATGCTACTTCAGGTGAAAATACGTAAGCAACAAGCACCAATCACCATAAACTAGAGATATCTAAGAGAAGTCACTGTTTTCATTTACCTCACCTACGCAGCCTCTTTTCAACTACAGGCAGCAAAGATGGGTAGGACAAACAAAGCAAGGATCGGAAAGACAAGATAGGCGTTCATTACTCTGATATCAGTGTGGGAATCTATTGCACTAACCATAAGGAATGGCGTCGGTGATTCAGTGGTAGAACCCTCCCCAACAACACACATAATCCATGGATTGATTGATTCTCGCACTCACCGTACTTCTCAGCTTCGCCAAGCACACTAGTAAGGCCGGTAAAAAGGGGAGGTTGGGCATAAAGCTGTTACCGCAACTTCAAAGCTTTAGCTTAGAGCCCTATGTCCCACTCGGAAAGTAGAAGATTAAAAAAATAAATAAGTGTTATGTACTGGTCGAGAATTTAGTAGTCCTGACGCAAGAAAGACGGAAATCAGAAGACCACTAGGTTTGCGATGATACTTCTGTTTTCCAAAATACCAGGAGAATCAATGCCACACAAGTGTGAAAGAGAGCAATTTAGTGTGAATGTCCAAACAAGTGTGTGAGCGCATATTCAAAATGAACAAATCAAGAGACAGTCTTAACATGATTGGCTAATTATAATGGAATATCGATCCATATATACATAGCAAAATATATCAGACTGTCAAACAAACACACATATTATATGGATATATATCAATAAACATAAGGAGCAAGATCCAAATTTTCAACGCTAATGTCAAGTCAGTGTTTCCATATGGTCCAGAGCTTCATCCGCTGGATGTATCTGTACCACCTTTCACTGGAGATTTTAAGTACACCCAGATGATGAATTCCAAACAGGACGAAATACTTAAGTTTGCATTCCAACACTGCTTACCATCCACCGAACAATAATAATGACAATAATGTTTGAAGTTCTACATTACTTTCATTGGATATTAAGTAGTAACTAGTGTAATGTGTCTAGTGTGTCTAGTCGTTTCTTTGGTACAGACTGAATTCTATGAGTCAAGGTTGCAATACAGTCATCACACTTGGTAGCTCAACATTATGGTGAACTCTGAATTGTTGTTATTACATCGTTGAAGGCTGTTGGCACGAGGTCTTGATCAAAGTATCCGTTACAATCGTACAGACGGCAGTACTCACTGAGTGACACCGGTCGGAATCTCAGAAG